CGGTGATTCACGGACGATTGTATAAAAAAAAAAAAAAAAAAAAAAACACAAAAAAAACAAAAAAAAAAAATGGGAAGAAATCACACGTATGAGCGAGTACACAGGTGACAGATTGATACGGTGTACGCGCGCATACACGCATCTTATCGTTAGTCTACATGTAACGCCATAGATAAGTGCGTAGCCGCGTAAGAGACCTAGTCATATTTTGACACGATCGAGTTTATTATATCGAGACGATACGATACGTTGTACAGTGACCGTTTTTTCACCGAGATTCGAACGACCGACGCCGACGTTGTCGAGAAAAGCGAGTTTTTAGTGTTGCGCACTGTGTCGTATACAAACATACAAAAATACACACAGATACAAACACAGACACATACACACACACATACCGTGTACATGCAAGAGAAACGATGATTGTAGGATGAATAAGACGAGTGAACGTATTGCAACAGTTTTATTAAAGCGTTATTAACGATGTCGAGGGGAAGGGTGAATAAAAATGTGACTGATGAGTGCATGACTGAGGGTGTGTGATAAAAAATAGGAGTGAATCGTGGCAGAAAAGGGGATAATCTACGCTGATGTCGCGGACGACAGGCGGATGAAGATGCTTTTCAAGTCACGTCCGATTATCCATCGCGCGATGTCGTATAATTCGATAATAAGACGACTGACGCGACCGCAAATTGTCTCGCGAGCGAGACACGTTTCCAGGCGAAGGCGAGCATCACGACGTGTCGTCGAGGAATAAGTACGGCCTCGTTTCTATAGATAATTTTAACGTAATTGGAGGCTGTGCAAAACGAATCGAGACAGCTTCGTTGAAAATTCATCGTGTCGACGAGATGAGGAGTCCATTTCGGTGGAAAGAACGAACAGGACAAGACGCGATAAGAAATTTTTAACGATCGAGATGATCGAGTCTCGGAGCTGATAGGAGCTCGCGTAATTGCCATCGCGGGACAACGCTAATCCTAGCCTGCTGATAAATGAATTCCTCATCCGCGTCGAGTAATTAAGAGGTTGTCGCTCTCTCGTCGAAGTCGACGTCACGTCGGTTCGTCCGTTTCTTTCCCCTGCCTTCGTGTCTCTCTCTACGCGTCGATTTGTTCGCAAGGTCCGCGAAATCGGAATTTCCATTTGCCTACGCCGGAAGCGTGTAAATCGGGCCGGCACGATTCGTTCCCGCGGCCAGGGCCCCGACTGAGAAATCCTCGTGATTGCGATATTTCGATAAAATCAAATTGAAGAGCGGAAACGTTCGCGCAGATAATGGCATATATTAGTGCGACGAACAAAATGGGGAAGGAAATGAATCGAGGTGTGTGAGGTGCTGGTCGGAAGAGCGGACAGTTCGAACAGTTCATAACTCTACTTATCGCGTCATCACTGGTGTGCCACTATTCAATAAATAAATTTTATTTACTTAATCGATCTAGACGTTTCTACACTTGGCGTAGCAATTTCGAAACACGTTGACTTCCTTTTTATTTCTTTCTTTGCGATCGAGGGTCTGAGATCCCGCGGGCTGTGAAATTTCTATCGATTGCAAGAGTCTCTCTCACTCCCCGTCTTGATTCTCAGCTCCTCGGTCGAATGAATGTGATATGCAATGAATCGTCAACTTTAAACATATCTCTCCGAAATAAGACAGACAATTAAATGTTGTTATATACATGTTTTACTGAATATCATTGAGACACTTTTTCTATCTCCGTGCAAAGTTCATCCATTAACAGTCATGATTAACCCTCAAATAGTTGGGTCATAGACGACTATAGCAATTTGTGTCAGGTTACTAGAATTTAGTAAAATTTAGTATTTGATTTTTATTCGATTTTGACAGAGATTACTGATTAAAAATTCTAGAACTGAATAGGTAATTGAACTCTAAATCGCTATAGTTCCCAATGGCTCAATATAACACGTTCGTGGCCGACGTGCTCTTGCGTCATTTTATAATTTGTGACTAATTTCAGTTAACCGAATTCTACAGTATCATTTCTCGTATTTTCAAATCATCATTCTGTAAGAAAGCATTATGCGTGAATTTAAACAGCTCTTTCAGTTTTGATATATATATATATATTTTTTTTATTTATTTCAACTTGCATTTGCAACATTTAATCCTTTTTTTTTCTCTTTGAAACAACAATGATTGTATACCATACAGGCAGATTTTGTATGTTCCAGTTTAATAGCAGAACTTCGCTATTAAACAGTCAATAAGAAACTTCATGTCAGAATCGTCAGCTGCGAATGTGTTCAAAGTTGAAACGATCCCATGCTTGTCCCAAAATCCTGTAAAATATTCGACTGATCATTTGGCAAGTTTTACGCGCAATTTATGTAAACTTTTCCTTCGACACATCCCTTTCTTTCACAGCTAAATACTCGACGAGGAGGATAATAAACGAGAAGGGCAATGAACAGCGATTTTCGTTTCTTCGTCAGGGGAATTCATCGAGGAAGTTCAGTCCGATCGATTCGATCGGAACGGAACACGAAGGGACACGGCGACGTCATCATAGACAGGATGACAAGTGAACAACGATAGTCCATCGATCACGTTTATTCCTCAATACATATTCAAATCGACCCGATGTGCCTTCGGTTAACATAATTTCGTTTGCCACTGTCGTTGCCACTACGTCAATTATGCAAACCTCGTTTCCTGCATGAAACTATCAAGTCAGCCTATCGATGTCCCTCGAACGCCACTGTCTTTCGATTTAATAGCGTGTTCGTTTCGACCCCGATCGCCACTGACCCAGCACGAATTTCCATTTCCGTACGACGAGTGAAAAACGACGAATAAAAACATTCTATTGATTCTGTAGAAATTTTGCTCCGTTTTGTTGTTGTGTCCATACGTTTGTTGTTCGAACGGGATGGTCCATTCAATTTTATATCAATTTCCATTGCAATTAAGTGACACGAAATTATAATTCTGTTGGTTAAACAAAACTTGGATTTGGCAATCGCGTGTTGTATAATTAACTTCAATTTATTAAATGTTTCATTAATATTAATTTTACTCGCATGGACTTTATTTAGGTGTATTAATCGTTAATGTCGTAATTTGCAATTCGTTATTATGAGTCGTCAT